TGACGTTGAAAACCGTGGTTTGACTCCTGTGGTTCAACAGGCTCCTTACTCTCCTGATATGGCTCCTTGCGACTTCTGGCTGTTCCCCAACCTCAAGAGGCCATTGAAAGGAACGCGATTTCAGACAAGAGAGGACATTATGGCTGCAACGACAGCCGAGCTAAACTCCATTTCGAAAGAGGCTCTCCTGGAATGCTTCCAACAATGGCGGCACCGCTGGGAGAAGTGTGTGGAGTCCCAAGGAGACTACTTTGAGGGTGATTAGGTTTCCAATGCTCCAGGTATGCCAGTTTTTATTCCCCGGCCAAAGGTCGGATACTTTTCTCACAGGCCTCGTATACTTAATGAGAAATTATCTAAGAGTTGCTTCTGCATTCTGGATTGCCCCCCAATGGCACAGGGGTATGTCTGCAGACTTACAACACTAGAAATTGGGTTTCTGATACCTGTGGTGGGCAGAGCACAGGTAGCCCATTGTGTAGCTTTGTGCTTAACTTCAAATAAAATAAGAAAAGCATTCTGGAAATAACTTTAGCAGAGAGAATGAGAGTCAGGGTGATCTGAAAATGTGAACAGAAGAGCTCTGATTAACTCAGATGAGCCCTCTTTTGGATACTTATGTTCTACTTCACTAAAACAAGTATCTTAGTAATTGAATTTTGATCCACCTGCCAAAACAGATGAACCATACCCTGGCCCAAAAGGTAATACTGGTCAAGTTGGTCAATTTTTAACACATCAGCTGAAAGTGGAGGAGCCATTGGAAGGTTGCCAATAAGGTGTGATCAACTGAGGGTTTGCTGTGACCATTTGAGGTTGAGATTGGCATCCAGCATCATTGATAATCATTTCTGGATAATATCTTTGAAGATGATCAGAGACAAGTTGTGGTGGGCAAGCTAGATACACAAGTCCACTTCTACCAATCTTTTTCAAAGACGTGGCAACATTTTCAGCATGTACATGATTCGGGTCATGTCCTGCTTGTAACATATCCTGGATAATTCAGGAACCCTCTTGTTACAAGGGGGAAAGGATTGATGATTTAAACAAGCCTGAACCTCATATTCAAGTAGCTTTGGGTAGAGACACCATTGCTATGGCAATAGGTCACTTTAGTGGGTACTAGTAGGAATTTAACATGTAGCAACGTGTGAGAAATCTACATGATGGATAAGAATTGATATATATGCTGACATTGTTTTTGAAGTCACTTTGTTGTCATTGTTGCAAGGCAGAGAGCAGCTAGATGAAACACATTATATCTTCACCTTTTAAGGGTTTGAAAAAGAAACATTTGGACTGCTTAGCTTAGAAGCTTCAGCACTAGATTTTGTTGAATACCTAGAACCTGATAAACACTGCAACCAGGAAACCATGATTACAGAGCTCAACACTTGATAGAAACCCAAGCCATTTAGTAGGCATAATTCAAGGCTTGTAAACATGATGCCTACATCAAGTTGCTGGAGGAAAGGAGACCTTCAGTGATAGCTGCAGTGATTGTGCTGGAAACATGGCACTCAAGTGAGCCAGTCCCATATAACAGAAAGTTGCAACAGATGTTTTCACATCATCAAATGCCAATTAGTGCTTTGGCTTTACCCAAATGGCTACCAGTTCAGTGGCAAAGATACCTTGAACCTTCACTACTGCAGGTTTGAGGCATCTCGAATCTCAGGATGATAGAAAGAACATATGCTATAGCTGTGAACATTTTTCTGGTAGAAATTTCATTTTCCTGTGCTTACAAAGGAGCCCAAATGCTCTTGAAGTAGGCTGACTGTTCAAAACAAAGAAAGAGGATAGACAATAAATGCTATCAGATTCACCAAGTTAAACTAACAAGTCCCAGATAAGGCTTGGTTACTGATCTGGAAGGAAAAAGCTGTCTCTTTCTACAGGTGTGGTGTTTGGTACAATGTCTACATGGCTGAGTATGGCTTGATGTGTAAAATTACATGGATGTGAGATAGGGATTTTAGTTGATACTGGTTCAGCTAAAACTTTTTTTATCTTATGGTGTATGTTATTATCATGTAAACCATTCCTCTAGCCAGTAACATCAAGTTATTTCCTTGCAAGTGATAATTAGATAGCAGTGAATGAAGAGGCTCAACTCTGCATCACTGTTGGTATCATCACTAAGCACATAATAGTTGTAATAACAGATCTTGATTTTAGCATTGGCATTTTAGGTTCAGATTTCATCCAGATGTTGGCTGCTAACATAGCCTGTGTATAATGCATCACGTGAACCGCAGCTCTGTGATGAAATTCAAAGTGCCAACTGAAGTATACTCATGAGTGGTGGACTACACAAATGTCTAAACAAAATTATTACAAATCCATATGTTGGATATGCTGTCAATTCTTACCTCTCCTTGTGGATCATTTCATTATGATCCATTTTGACAACTATACAGTTGTTTCCTATATTGTCCACCATGGGAGTATCCAATCCAAGACTTTTTTGAATTCAAATCCTGGATCATTTCTCAACAGGTTCATCTTAATACCTGCCATGTACAGGGCATTATCAACCTGATTGCAGACATCCTCTCTCAGATTGACTGTGTTCTGCCCATGGAATGGTGTCTTCACTCCAAGTTTCATAAGGTGGGCTCACTCTTGGTGACTTCACTCATTGATGCTTTGCTATTCCTCTCAATTCCATGCTTCCTCTATTTTGGTCTCCTGTTTCCTATCCCTCAGTCCTGGCTGTCTATGCTTTCAGCCAGGACTGGTCTCACCTTTCCTTTATGGATACCCACCTTTCCTTCTTTTAACTCAGGTCCTGGCCTTGATTAACAAATATCCTTGTCATGTCCTATTGATGACAACCTTCTGGCTAGCTCAACCTTAATTTTCTTTAAGTGTTTCTTCCCCAGTTCTCTCCACCTTACTCCATTCCTTATTTCTCCATAGACCACTTGCTATGTTCCTAAGCCTGACTGAGACCTCAGTATTGTTCTGTTTGCCCTTACCAATAAATCTTTCAAGCCATTGGCAATTTGCAACATATACCACATCCTCTTAAGATCTATTTTCTTTTATTTCTTGCCTGTAGTTACCGTTATTTGGATAGCTATGCCATTGATTCTTCCCATACTCTATCCCATCACTCTTACATTCTTTATCCTGACTGGTCCTTCCTCCCTAAGGCTTCAGCTACTTGGAAAAATGACTGTTCTTTCTTTCTTATTCCACTTTCTCTACTTCTCACATCTGCAGTTGATCAGACCCATACAGACTGTTGTGCCCTTTGCCATTCATTGATACTTAGCCTATACCTCTTACTTTTGAGGTTCCTGTTTTCAATACTTTATTCAACACATGTGTCCTTCTACCCTTACAGAATGAATCCATCAACTTCTACATTTGGTCTGCTCCTCATTGAGGGTCAGTACTCACAGACTGTTTCATATTTCATATTATTAAAGTTGAGATATCACACCATTTCAAAGATGACTGTTATTTTTTAAATTCAACAGTTTGAATGGTATTAAACTATTTATCTATTTATTGGGTAAAATAAATACCTTATGTATAATTTAAATTTTATATCCAAGTTGTTTTGAATGTTTAATAAGCTACTACTAATTGCTTATAAACTGTGCAATTACTGATATGAGGATGTTTTTACTTTAATTTGTTAGTTTATCAGACTTGGCTTGCTTCCACCAGAGGGAGTTTTACCTGCAGGATGTCGTCGTGTGTTTCAGATGATGTGGGCTAACAATGGAGATGTTCTCAGTCGTCAGTATGCAGGAACTGTGGCTCTTAAGGTTATATATATATGTGTGTGTATATATATATATATTTTTTTTTTTCAAAAGTGGAAATAAGCAGCTGTCATTAACAATGCTTTATTTAGTTAGAAATTTTCATTTATTTGGCAAATGAACAGTTTGGGAAAATATTATTGGTGTCATATGATAAATCATACTTTTGAGTTTTCTTAAACACCTAATATATCACACTCAGTCTACATCTGGTGAAACTCTGGGTGTTAACTATTTCTGCATGGGCTCAGTCCCTGGATCCAGCCTCGTAACCATTTTATGCTTGTTATAGTCTTCATGCTATAACTTTTAAATTAGTAAGAATATGTCAATGAAATTTTGCAGATTGCCAGTAAACATTACAGTGCTTTCATACACAAACTATCAAATTTTTTTATTAAGTCTTAAGGTTTGTAAAGCAGTGTTTTTCTTATGCATTTTTTTTTCTTTTTGCATGTTGCCTATCCAACATGCAAAGTAATTTTAATTTTATAGTTAAAAACAAATTTATGCTTATGAAAATTTTCAAATTTAACATGCGAAATCTTTATAATGTCCAGATAGTTATAAAACGTTTCATAAGAAAAAACTTTATATTTTATCTGTGATTTTCAGTAATGAATCTCTTTATGGGTTGGGTAGATTTGACTGATCTTGTAACCACCATAAAAAATTAGGA